GCTCATAGAGCGAAGAGCACACAAGACTGGCTGGCGGCGCGTGAAATCGACTTCATCCGGCACGAAGACTGGCCCTCCTCCAGTCCAGATTTGAATCCGTTAGATTACAAGATATGGCAACACTTGGAGGAAAAGGCGTGCTCAAAGCCTCATCCCAATTTGGAGTCACTCAAGACATCCTTGATTAAGGCAGCCGCCGATATTGACATGGACCTCGTTCGTGCTGCGATAGATGACTGGCCGCGCAGATTGAAGGCCTGTATTCAAAATCACGGAGGTCATTTTGAATAAACTTTAGTGTCATAAGAATCTATGTTTTGTTAAGTTCATTTTGGTATATGAATGGTTACATAATAAATAAACTTGTTGCAATTATTTTACATTAAACATGTGACAGAATTTATGACCTGACTAGGTATAAATTTAGAATTGTCGACCCTAAAAAATCGGTGGAAATTGCAGAATAAACTAGTTAGTTAGAGACGTAATTTGAATCAATTTAATGTGTTCAACTATTTTACGAATGCATAAAACTTAAAAATATTGATTAGAGAACAGAACAAAAAATCTATTTAGGAGTCTAATTGAAGTCGTCGTGGCCTAAAGGATAAGACGTCCGGTGCATTGGTATGTAGCGATGCACCGGTGTTCGAATCCTGCAGGCGGGTACCAATTTTTCTAATGAAATACATACTCACCAAATGTTCACGATTGACTTCCACGGTGAAGGAATAACATCGTATAATAAAAATCAAACACGCAAAATTATAATTTGCGCAATCACTGGTGGTAGGACCTCTTGTGAGTCCGCACGGGTAGGCACCCCGCCTATTTCTGCCGTGAAGCAGTAATGCGTTCCGGTTTGAAGGGTGGGGCAGCCGTAGTAACTATACTTGAGACCTTAGAACTTATATCTCAAGGTGGGTGGCGCATTTACGTTGTAGATGTCTATGGGCTCCAGTAACCACTTAACACCAGGTGAGCTGTGAGCTCGTCCACCCATCTAAGAAAAAAAAAGAGTTTCTTCACTGATACACGGATGAGCTCATTCGAAAAAAGAACAATCATCTTATCCAAAATGCATTGATTCCCATTCTTATGTACATGTACAAAATGTTTGTACATAAGCAAAAACAAAAGAGAACTAACAGACCGAGCGACCGAGTGGCATTCACACTGAGTTCTGGCGTATTACCATAAAAGTTTTAAAAGTTTGATTTGAAGTAAATTCTTTATCGTCGAAGCCGTTCGTGAGCACCAGTGTAATTATAAAATTGATATCTGTTTTCACGATTATGTTTCTTGTAGTTAATATGCACCAATACACATTAGGTGCATTGGTAGCAGCACTAGGAATGTGGATGTGGGATGACATAGAAACGTTTCCAAAGAATAATCTGACTTAATTTTTCTTTTAATATTTACCTACCAGTAATATGGTCATATTGGAATGAAATAAAAAAAAATATTAACAAAGGAAATATATATGTAAATAAAAAGTATATTGTGTAATATAATAATTGTACAAGAATAACATTTGCATTAGGTACGTAAATAGCTGCAGTGAAAATAAAAACTCCGGTTTGTTCTTAAATCTCATTTATTATTGTTCAATACCTTTGTAAGGTAAGTGACAAACTGATATACGATAACACGGAATGGACACCACATTCATATTGAAGTTGATCAAATAAAAACCGTCATGTTCATCATTGCAGTTTTGCAGGACGGAAGCGTGTCCTTTCCTTAATTTTTACAGAATCGTGAGTATTGTATAGAGAAAAAAAATCTTATATTTAATAATTTCAAGAGTTATCGAACTACAAGGTATACCTACTGAGGAAGTAGGGAAGCATTCAGCATGACTTTATGAGTTCTAAGTTTACAATAAGCCGATTGTTTCGGGTGATGAATTTTCATTTGATCTTATTAATAATAGATTCATATTTGTTGAACTCCAAACAGCAAACTCAAAAATCCCCAAAAGTCAAACTGCTTATTGAAAACTAGATTACAAAGATGATAAATTAATGGATAGATTCAAAAGTTTTATTAATCCTATAAATATATGTTTAAAGGTAGTGTCCGTTTTATATTGGTTTTATATATTATGACAAGCACAAAACAAGTATAATTTAGTCAATTAATTTGGCCATTCAAACCAATGCGTTGAAGGTGGAAGCTCATAATATTTAATTGAGCAAAGAATTCCGATACAATACAAAGTGAGTTCAAATTTCGATGTGTGTTTTGTAATAGGCACGTAAACATTAGAATTTATACCATACGAAAATCTTTTTGTTAACAATGCAACATTTTCAACTCATTCTGTTTCGATGCTATCGAGAACCAACACGATTAACATTTTCAGCTGTTGCCATGTCGTTTATATCAACAATATTGATCACGATTACCTTTTACTAGGCATTCCTAATTTTTGGCCTAATTATGTCTATAGGTACTTTAACATTTTTGAATATCTCTCAAAACAGCTTCAGCAAGTTGAGGTAAGTAGTCATTGACGCTCGTAGCCATTAGCAATGTGAGGGACATAGCGCAGCCGTTGCCTATCGCCAAGGAGCCTGGTCAAATCTCTTCTAAGATTTTTTTTTGCTCAAAAGCAATGGAACATTTTTCCTGTAAGTATAGGTATGATTTATTCGTTCCAACAAGAAAATGGAGCTGTTTGCCAAAAATGAATTTCTGCCCATTAGTTTTTAAGCGCACATCAAAAGATTCATAGAAAACTTTCCTATTAAATGATTGTGGATGACGTAGGTATTCGTTTATGTATGAATTAATAAAATATTTGACAAAATGTGTACCGCTTTATTACGGTACTACCGTTATATGCCAAGGGCAATGCCTGAAATCACAATGAATGTGACGGTGATGTGAAGGCGAAAAGGTTGTGACCAATATTGAATTTAAACAACACGCCTTCCACTGTTTAGGAAGACTAAACATAACCTGAACAAAGTTTCCAAAAAGCACACATAGTTATCTAATAATAACTTAATGAAATGAAATGAAATGAAATTGGTAGGTACATATTAGAGACAAGGAATAATGAACCTAGGACCATATTTTAATAAATACGTATTAAAAACATCTACCTAACTACAAACACGTTTTTGTATAAATATTTAAATGTTTTTCTCCCAACAGAGACATTTTAAACGATTCAAAGTCTTTTACTGAAACTGCAGTTTTAAAGAAACTCTTCAGTTTCACTTAAATACAAATTTAATACAAAATCCGACTTTTATGATAAGAATTCGGTACGTATACATAATCGTGGTATTGGTACTAAACGGTCGGAAACATGCTCAAAAAAAAAATAATGGAAAAAAGTAAAAAGCATCCTCTTTTCCTTCTAATCTTATCAAGATATTGATTCTTTCCTACACATCCAATCCGAGTATACAAATTATGAAAGCTAAATCCATAATATATATATATATTTATGTTAACAATATTTGAAAACGGTGTTTGATTAAACATCTTTGCAAATCGGAGGTGCAATTGTAAACTTTGTTCCTTAGTGTTAACCACCCCATTTCATCTTTTATCTCGTTAACTCTAACGGCTTTATCACATACGTCACAACGGGTCCCAAAATTTTATAAACCATGAGGCAGAGCAGTTCCCACTCGACCAATTGCTGGCACCTCCCAGTATTTGGTCGAGCAGACGTCTGTGCGGTCATCACATGAGACTCAACGCGTTAACAAACGAAAAACCCTTCAGGTTGTACTTGGTGGGATTTGTAGGGTCCGATTATAGCTTACAACTTTACATAATAATATGGTCGTTGAAATTAGTAACTAGGTTATAATCAGAGATCGCGATGAACGGCCACAGCTCTCGATAATGACTGTAAATACTGGCAAGCTTCGGCTCCTAGAAGTATACACTAAAATTATTTAACTAGGAGTTTGAATTTAACAAGGAAGCTTTCGTTGTTGAAATGGTATAATGTTGGGAGATGATAATGTTTAAGGCAAAAACAGCAGAGGCCCTATTATTAAATCTAAGAGTTTAATGTTGTACGATACAACGGAGCTAACATCATTCGAGTTTTTTTTTTCGACTATTCGAGTCACGACCGAGAGCACTAACCGCCCCAACCTTAAAGCTACTAGATACTAAAATTCTCTAGACGATCGAAGACCGTAAGCTAAATTGATTTTTGTTTTCAAAAGTCTTAAAAAAATAAAATCTGCTAGTGACCAACTCTAATACGCTAGCGAGGACGCAAAACGGCGCGCACCGTTCGGAAACGTTTCTCAAAGCCGAGTTTCGTGTAAAGCGAACGGGACGCGTCGTTTTCCGGACGAATGACGACGAAGGGCTTATAGCCCCGGGCTGCGACTTCTTTAGTTAGGCGGCGAGCTAAGTAAATACCGTAACCTTTCCTACGGAATTCGGGGCGAGTTTGCATAGAGAACATGGCTCCGTAGTATGATTGAACCATCCAAGCGGCAAGTTGACCTTCGACAAAGATCCCGTAGGCCGGTAGTTCGGCTACCAACTTCTCAAATACCTCACGACATTCGATATCACTTGCCGGATAAAGATCGTGCACGGCCTTCATGTGCTCCGGCTGCAAGCGCACTAACTCCACGTCCGGTGGCAATCTGTTAAAACATATTCAATAAGATAGATTATGTTAAACATTGTATACCATGGAATTTAACAATAAATAATATTTTAGAAGTCGTCGTGGCCTAAAGGATAAGACGTCCGGTGCATACGTGTTGAGCGATGCACCGGTGTTCGAATCTCAGGCGGGTACCAATTTTTGTAATGAAATACTTACTCAACAAATGTTCACGATTGACTTCCACAGTGAAGGAATAACATCGTGCAATAAAAATCAAACCCGCAAAATTATAAGTTGCGTAATTACTGGTGGTAGGACCTCTTGTGAGTCCGCACGGGTAGGTACCCTGCCTATTTCACCCATGAAGCAGTAATGCGTTTCGATTTGAAGGGTGGGGCAGGCGTTGTAACTATACTTGAGACCTTAGAACTTATATCTCGAGGTGGGTGGCGCATTTACGTTGTAGGTGTCTATGGGATCCAGTAACCATTTAACACCAGGTGGGCTGTGAGTTCGTCCACCCATCTAAGCAATAAAAAAATAAAAGTACTCTTAATAATACTCTAAGTAATAGTTAAAATAAAATTTTACCCATCAGTATCGACATCCGCCGGTGGATTGTCACAGGCATAAACATCGCCGGTGATCTTATCGTGGGCCTCATAGCGCTTCTCGAAGCGATTAACGATAGCTTCGTGAGTGAAATTCAGGTACAATGGTTGAGTTAAATCTAGTAGGATGCTTTCTGAAGTCACCAGATCAACTAGATCAGCCCGGGCGGATGGACAAAACACCGTCACGCTTTCGTAAATTTGACTGTTTGGCTGCAATGTTCATATGTTCATGGAGTTATTAATATTATTTGTTATATTATTAGTCTATATGAGCCGGTAATAGTACGGTCCGTATTAAGTTAGGTCCCATTGGAGATGCAACTTGACTTCTGTATCAGATATTGGAACATAAAGTCTTAGTTGTTTGCGAATAATGGCGATTCCAGTGACTGACCATTTCGTGACAAAAATAGGGTACCACAGTCGATTTTCTTGGATGTGCTCATGGTCAACCGGTGTTAAGTGGTTATCGGAGCACATAGACATCAACGACGTAGACGTCGCCAATCATCTAGAGATATGAGTTCTAATTCTTAGTTTTACAGTACAACGACTGCTTCACCGACTTACTTCTGCAGTATCACTGTACCATTATCTACAGCCGGTACTCTACATAGGAATTATTTGTAGCCGGAAGAAACAAACATAAGAAAATTTACAAACGCAAATAATTAAATTGAAATTCACAATTGAGAGCTAACGTTTCTGTAGGAAAAGCCACACTCTAGTTAAAGTGCATTTCAGGGCGTAAGCGTCGCGTCACCAGCTTCTCGTCAAGCCCTTGCTACTGGCTGAAATTTCAACCCCAATCTTACCCTCCCTTTGAAATCAAGTTCTATAAAATTAAACTTATGCAAGTTGAAATATTCTCGTAGAAACTTTCAGAAATGAGATCTTTGATTTTGATAAACATTGTAATGTAATCGTTCACATTTACAAATTTCTGCAATTATTGATTGAGCTCTGCCCGCCCGGATGATTACCGCCATCCTCCACATTTTTAGCTCTAAATACTCATATATAATATTTATGGATATGGATAAAACAAATTAGTACATATGATTTGAAAAAAAAAATGTCGCCAATTGTAAAAAAATGTTTAGTGGTACAGATAATATTTCACCCGGTCTTCCAGAGGGGTACAGTCGTTTTCTTACCGTGCTCGTACATCCGGGGAAATGTAGGCAAATCGGGTCCTCTGGCCAATTCTTCGCTACATAAAAATGGAAGTTCCAGACTTTGTTGTTTAGATATGTTTGAATCGTCTGATGAAACTAGAAAAACAAGTTTTAATCTTGTCTAAGTCTCGTCTTTATATCACCATTTTAATGTTTGTAATCCGCCCAAATTGGGTTTTCGCTTTGATCCCTATTTGATTGGTTTTCACTCTAAATCTGTCAATGTTATGTATGCCAGGTTGGATCCCTAGCTCTTCGTATGACTCTTGTGTTTATTTTAACAAAATTCAAAGTCAATTATAGAAAATGCAGCTCGTAAGTTAATCTTAACAAAACTAAATTATGTTATTTGTTCTCATATATTTTATTTTTACCTTTAGAGATTCAGGCATGTACCGCACTAAGAAATCGGCCACCGCTTGAAGTTCGTCTTCAGGAACTATTCGAAAGTTTTTCCCTTCTGGCACGATTTCCATCTCTGTAACGATAAACGGTGGCAATCATTCGAATATATAAAAACAAACTTTAGAAACACTACCTCCAGAAATGTAACTGCCAGGAAATATTTATTTGTGAAGGATTTTATGGTCATTGAATTCTATAAAATGAGATTTGTCTTCGCCATACACCATAATGTATTCGGTATCATGTTAACACCTGACCCAGAAAGGGCATTTGAATATTATTTTTAACGACTTATAAATTTTAAAATGTTTTGTTTCTATATTTGGAAAATAATTACAGCAAGGTTCATTTGTTTTTGATTATTAAAGAAGTAAGATAACTGAAAGTTCAATGAACTAAAATTAAATCGTATATTTAGCTTTACTTATTGAAAATTTTTGCATTGACTAAAAACATCATTAATGAAACATATTTGCACATTAGACAAGCGATTATCTACGAGTAATTGTCGTTTAAAAGATTTTTATTTTATTTTATGTTTGATTGGTTTAGCTGAAGATGAACATTTTAGGCAGTATTGAATAAATACTACGAGTATAGAGGGCGAACAAATTTTGACGTAGCACAGTTGAAGCTACGCCGCAGTACCTGAAGAGTGAGTGCTACGAATATGTCAGTACTACAAAGTTTACAGCGGTATATTAAGTATTATGATTCTGAAATGGCTATATAAACAGTTTCAATACATAGATTATGTATTGAATCAAAATCGAATGACCTTGATTACCTGTTCACTTAATTTACACAATTGTTGATCTTACGTAACCTTAAAAGTAAGGCTAGTTTCATTTCAATGGCTTTATTTTGCGTCCTCTTGATTTTTGGGTTGATTAGTAAAGTCTTGAAGGATAACAACGTTACAGCTATTTGTATGGAGACTAAACCACACAATATACTTATAATTGACTAATGCGATTTGCGAATGAACTAAAATAAAATATAACAAAGAGAATAATGAGACGTGTATCAAAGTCTTGTGTATCATATTTATTTAATTTACTTATTCATCTTTACGCACAAAGGTACAATACAGACTTAAGTACAATACATACACACATACCTACGGTATACATATATACAATAACGTACACATTATAATATCATAAAATAATAATATAATATTTACACATATATCAAATATACACATTCTGATACATATATAATCATATACGCATTTATACACAACATAAAACTATAACACGTTTATTAGAGAAAAAGAAAATTAATAATAAAAAAATAGTAAGACTATAGTATATTGCATGGAATAATACGAACACATTAGATAGTAAAAGAACTTGTTGTAACAATCACTTTAAAAAATATTAAACAACTTAAGCGCAGAACAAAGAATATTGAATTAATAATTAACCTTAGTAGTCAATGTCGCGTTTATAATTTACAGGAATATGTGACAATAATCTACGTCTTCTTATGAACAAAGGAATAATATGTATGAAACCGTCTTATGCGTATTCTAATTGAACGCACACTTTAAGTATTACTTCACGTAAGAGCCTCTAGCAAATCCGAAGTTTATTAGTTACTTCAAATAATTTCTGAGTTATTTTTATTTTTTCGAGCTCACAGCCCACCTGGTGATAAGGTGTTACTGGAGCCCATAGACATTTACAACGTAAATGCATTCACCCACCTTGAGAAATAAGTTCTAAGGTCTAAGTATAGTTACAACGGCTGCCCCATCCTTCAAACCGAAACGCATTACTGCTTCATGGCAGAAAGAGGCGGGGTGGTGGTACCTACCCGTGCGGACTCACAAGAGAGAGGTCTTACCATCAGTAATAATTAACCATATAATAATTATCGTTAGTAGTAATTAATTTCGCTTAACTTTTATTTGTTTTTTTTTTATATAACTTACTCAACTTTTAACTATATAAACTTGTTAAATCTGACTCTCAGGGTGTTGTATTTAAATACAAATAAATTATCATAAAATTATGCATTATATTTTAAATTTGAATAGATATTGTACATATGAAAGGCGGGGCATGTCGGAGTCGAACTGACTAAAACCTCCTGTCGCTCAACAACTCGCGTCCGAACCTCGCATGAGACAGAACCCATGAAAAGGCAAAGGGGGAAAGTGAAGCGTTTAGTGCGGAGCACATCTCTCCCATCACCCTCCCCCTCGGGACGCCGGACCGGCGGTCGTCGGCGCCACGACCACCAGCCCTCTCGGTCGGCAGGCTATCCGGAGCCCGTCTAGATGGCGCCGGTTAGAATGGGTTATCCTACGGAATACCCTGCTGGGTCAGAACCAGCTTGGGTCGAGGATAGCCGGCCTTCCATCACCCGAATGCTCTTGCGTAAAACGCGTGCAGAACAGCTTGCACGTCGTCTTCTTAGGCCCCCTTAGGTAATCTTACATTTATTATTGACAATTGTCATTATATTAGTCTTGTCGTTTCAAATATTTGCGGTTTTCGTGTGAACGGTCAAAATATTTGATGAACGATTTGGCACCACGACTCAAGAAAAGAAAAACGAGAACAAAACCTAAATTAATTAAATTGGCACCAACACTTTCGAAAGTAATGACACATAGGTATACAGGGTGACTTGTAATTCGACGTATTCCTCTTGGGATGTGATAATACATCTAATTTCCAAACAAAATTAACCCTAATGTCACTTTGAACAAGATTTGTAAAATATGTCGCAAAATTCATTAATGAAAGATATTTTTTAATTTCCATTTTTACTTTACACTTTACCTATCATCATGTTATTCATTTTTTTCTGAGAATCTTTAATTTTTTTCTGAGGAATACGTCGTATTACAAGTCACCTTGTATATGTACATATGTATTTAACATATTCAAAGCCGTAAAATATGATTTACTGAATATTTGATACGTATAACAACATAATAATATCTGTACAGTCTACCAGCGGTGATCGATCGCACGGTTATTGAGGTCGCCGGTTGTGGCAAGACTTTATGACGAATGGCAAAATATTGGTAAACATTATTTATTCCCCGGACCTACGATATGTTTTCATGAATATACAATCAGCCTTCGATATCAGGTTTTTATATTTGTATGTGTTAGTGTGTTTTTTTTATTACCCTTGTAGGCAGGACCTTTTTATTACCCTTATTACTGGTGGTAGGACGTCTTGTGAGTCCGCAGGGGTAGGTTCCACCACCCTGTCTATTTCTGCCGTGAAGCAGTAACGCGTTTCGGTTTGAGGGGTGGGGTAGCCGTTGTAACTATACTGAGGCCTTAGAACTTATATCTCAAGGTGGGTGGCGCATTTACACTTAACTCCAGGTGGTCTGTGAGCCAGTCTACCCATCTAATCAATAAAAAAAAAGGCAGAGCCCATTCTCGCCGTGCATCTTAAGATTTAGGCAAAACCCACCGAGTTTCTCGCCGAATCTTTTCAGTGTGTCGTGATTTCGGTGGTAGATTTAGTGAATCACTGTTCTTGCTAGGGCAGATGTTAGCAAATTCTATCAGGCCGAGCCCCGTTAGCTCGCCCATCAGTCGTCAGGGTAAAGTCACAATGTCTTGAAGCTACTAACAAAAACAACGAATTTGGTATGGTATACACTCATTTATTTTTGATGACGCATCTCATGAGCCGCCTACTATGCATTAATAATATTATTTTAGTAACCTAAAATAATAACTTTATATTACACAATTACAATTGTATTGAACAATAAAATTGCAGAAATTCCAACTGAATCAACCTCAATTATGCATGAACGTACCTATAACTATATATTGCGTACAAACAACAAGTATTCAATTTCATTGATATAAAAATATTGTTTACATTTGTAAAAATAGATCGTCGGAATTGTCTCGCGCAGAAGATAACTCCATATAAGGTACGGCTATTTTATACGCGTAAATTAAGTATTATTAAAGGAAAAAAATAATATATTTAATCTTGAAATGGAATAGGGGATTTCATTTAAACACGAGCTTCTTAGGAATATTTATTTATTCGATAGCGTCATTTGAATGAATGAAGTCATAACGATAGCGATTTATTTGAAATTCAACGGCTGCAGTTATCTTAAAGTCAAAGGTGTACAGCATTCACTCGTCTACCTTATAAAACTTTGACGGCAAAATAATTTTGCTTGTCACATTATTGCTATATGAATGCTTCGAATTTCTTTTAGATATCTAGAAGTAGGTATTACATTTTATTTCATTCTCAAGTACCGATTGTATAATTTGATGTCTGACATTACGAGTATAAGGATAATTATTATATTTACAAGCTTGGTTTGCGTTAAAGCTTTTAGAGGGTGCACAGAACTTTACTTGCCGTTGTTACTATACTTGAGACCTTAGAACTTATATTTCAAAGTGGGTGGCGCATTTACGTTATAGATGTCTATGGGCTCCAGTAAACAATTAAAACCAGGTGGGCTGTGAGCTCCTCCATCCATCTAAGCATTAAAAAAAAGCGTTAGAGGTAAGCCGTATTGTGAGCTCGCATGTATGAGTGCCACTATCGTGTTTATTTTTAGCGCGAAGTAATCACAACTTCGGTCTGAAAGATAGAACAGACGCTATACAATATAACTTTTTGAAATATGTAAAAAAGTTTTTTTTTTACTGCCAGTTTTGTTTGACTCGATTGCATGAAGGATTCAAGGGCGTACGTGACGTCATATCTGCATTCCGTTTACCGCATAAGGGGTACACGTGATTAGAATACGTTGCAGTTTTATATTGAACTGCACTGTATATTATGTATATATTATAAAAAGCGAAAGTAAAATAATTTTATACGTATACATTAGATTTCATTAAACGAAATTCGTTTTGTAATGAATTTATCCGTGTCCAATGCGAATTTCGTGCGAATCCGAATGTGTTTTTGTTTTAGTAGATGAACACTTTTTTTAAGGGATTTTATGACCTGATAACTAAGACCTTTAAGTCACATCTTATTTTAATTTATATTGTTATTTTTATGAAAAATGATAATATGGACTGAAATGAAATGATATGATTAATTTGA